ATTCAAATCATCTATTTATATACTTTTAAATATATATAAAAAAATTATGGGTGGGGCATGGTGGCTCACACCTGTAATCCCAGCACTTTGGGAGGCCGAGGCAGGTGGATCACGAGGTCAGGAGTTCGAGACTAGCCTGATCAACATGGTGAAACCTCATCTCTACTAAAAATATAAAAATTAGCCAGGCGTGGTAGTGTGCGCCTGTAATCCCAGCTACTTGGGAGGCTGAGGCAGGAGAATCACTTGAACCCAGGAGGCGGACGTTGCAGTAAGCTGAAATCATGCCAACTGCACTCCCACCCAGGCAACAGAGCGAGACTCTATCTCAAAAAAAAAAAAAAAAAAAAAAATTATGTGGTAGAGTTACTAATTCAGTCTTTTAAAAATGTAAAAATGTGATCACTTTTGAGGAGCAATTTCTTCTTAAACAGCTTCCTGTTTAAGATTTCATATAACTCACTCAGCTGCATTTGTAAAAGCCACAGAACTATCATGTAACATAGTGATCCCACTTTTAGGACTGTATCACAAGCAATTTTCCAAAAAAGTGCTTATTTGCACAAAGACGATGCTAACTACACATTAACTTAAAGATAAAAAAACAATAAAAAGGAATGATTAAGCCAATAAAACAGATCAGCACTATACCATCTTCAAATTAGCTATTTTTAAATGCCACTGTTTACATAGGAAATGTCTAAGGAAATAAAAGTAATAGAGGAGAAAAAAAGTAAACTATACACTAATCACAACCAAGTAATAATTGTACCTGTAAGTACAAGATAGAAAGGAACACAGAGTCTTGGGAGAAGAAATTTATGAAAAATGTTTTGTTCTTTGGGCTTAGAAACAATGACATCTTGGTAGTAATGAGCATACCTAGCACCCAAAACTGGGTTTCTAAAAACCATTCTCCTGCAAAAGGGACCACAGAGAAGTGAATGATTGATTCTAAGGTTGGGCAAAGAAGACACAAGACAAACCTAAAACCTTTTGTAGTACCAAAAAGTAATCAAATGCTCAAAAAAACTGATAAGCTCATGCTGAAAGAATACAGGAACTACATGGAAGGAGCTCCTAATAGCCAAAGTTGGGACAATTTGAGGAACAAAGTAAATAATCATACTACTGGATTATAATCCATGATCTAAATAAGATCAATACTTGAATAAATAAACAAATGGGAATGAAGGGGCTGTCCTTCCTTAGAATCCTAAACACAAAACAAAGAAATGATGAGAATAGAAAATCACACTGAGCAAACTGTTGCAGGCAAGAACTACTGATGAATACTAAATGTAGTAGGAGAAAGTATGACAAGAGACAGGATCTTTGCAGTCTCAAAGTATCTCCCACAAGATACATATTAATTACAAATGGAACAAATAAAACAATAGATTTGCAGTGGGTAAACTTTGCAGGGTAATTATAAAAGAAATGTAGACAAACTCAAATTAATGAACATTTAACAAAATATATGATGAGTATTCTTCTAAAATGTCAAGATCAAGAAAGACTGGGGAATTATGAGAGACTAAAGAACAAGTGTGCTAGACACTGTCATTAAGAAGGCATGACACACAAATACAATGTGTCATCCTGGATTGTATCCTGGGCCAGAAAAAAAGGAACTGGAAGGGAAACGGACCAAATTTGAATAAAATCCACAGATTAGTTCACAAGACTATTATTAATGTAAATTTCCTGGTTTCAATAACTGTACTATACTTAGATGTTAACGTGAAGTGCAGCTGGGTGAAGGGTGGATAGGAAGTCTCCATATTATGTTCGCCAGTTTTCTATAAGCCTAAAATAATTTTTAAGTTTAAAAATTATTCTTTTAATGCTACTGCCTACTTTTTTATTGTTTATATGAGCAACTCCATTAACTGGAATATAAAAAAACAAATGTCGTAATGGCAAAAATAAAATGAAATGTGTTAAAAACAGCATTATCATATAATTCAGGAATTCCACTGCTGGGTACATACCCAGAAAATGGTAAAACAAGAAATTGAACAGGTATTTGTACACCCATGTTCATAGCGGCATTATTCACAACAGCCAAAAGATGGAAGCAACCAATTGTCCATTGACATGAATGGATAACAAAATGTAGTATACACGTAAAACAGAATGTTGTTCAGACTTTAAAAGAAGTCCTGACACATGCTACAACATGGATGATCCTTGAAGGCATTATGCTAAGTGAAATAAGCCAGTCACAAAAGGACAAATGCTGTATGATTCCACTTTCATAAGATACCCAGAGTAGTCAAATTCATAAACAAAGCAGAATGGCTGCTGGCCAGGAACTAGGGGAAGGGAGGAATGGGTACATACTGTTCAATGAGTACAAAGTTTCAATTTTACAAGATGAAAACTGGAGACAGCTGCAGAACAATGTGAACATAAAGCCACAGAAATGTAGACTTAAATGTGGTTAAAATGGCCGGGTGCAGTGGCTCACACCTGTAATCCCAGAATTTTGGGAGGCTGAGGTAGGTGGACCATGAGGTCAGGAGATTGAGATCATCCTGGCCAACATGGTGAAACCTCATCTCTATAAAATACAAAAAATTAGCTGGGTATGGTGGCACCCGCCTGTAGTCCCAGCTACTTGGGAGGCTGAGGCAGGAGAATCACTTGAACCTGGGCGGCGGAAGTTGCAGTGAGCCAAGATTGTGCCATTACGCTCCAGCTGGGCAACAGAGCAAGAGTCCATCTCAAAAACAACAAAAATTTTTTAATGTGGTTAAAGTGATAAATTTTGGAACAAAATTTGGGCACTTGCTACAACATAGACAAACTTTCAACATTCTATTAAGTGAAATAAGCCAGTCACAAGAAGACAAACACTCTATGATTTTACTTATATGAGGTACCCAGACTAGTCAAATTCATAGAGACAGAAAGTAGAATAGTGGTTACCACAGACTAGCGGGAGAAGAGAATAGGAAGTTATTACTTAATGGGTACAGCGTTTCTGTTTGGGATGATGAAAAAGTTCTAGAAATGAATAGTGGTGACAGTTGCACAACAATGTGAATATACATGATGCCATTGAATGGTACATTTAACTAATAATGGTTAAAATGGTAAATTTTATGTCATGTATATTTTACCACAACAAAAAAATGTAAAAAAATAAAGTCAGCAAAATAAAAGTATGCACTCACCATTAACATGGCTAAGAAATTTAAAATCTTTAAAACATACTGGCTATAAATACCACCTAGTGGTCACATTTAAAACACCAAATTTCATTATCTAACACAGTTGTCTGCTTTTCCTCAATAACTTTACTTGTTTACTAAATAAGCACCTCCTCTAAACATTTGTGATGCTTATGTCTCTGAATTTCACCTCTGATCTAGACAGTTTCCTCATAGACTACAAAGGTGCAGTTTCAAAGCCCTCTGTTTACCTGGTTTGCAAAGGAGTTCTGTACCAATCAGAAAGGACCTGTTTCTTGCATAAAGGGGCAAGGAATCACTGTGTACTTCATGACTGGGAAGCTTCTCACTCTCATAAATAAGCTCTTCAAATTTTCTAACTTTCTAGAATGATGTTGTTAGAAAACAATTTCCAAAATAGAAGCTCATGTTCAAATTTTGGTATGAAAGGATATTTTAAAGGTCATGCAATGCTTTTTTCTTATAGAAAACTTGGTTTACTCACACCTGTCTAACATCTTTCTTTACTTCAAATAACAGTGAGCTAACATTGCAAAGCCAGAATTCTGGTCATTTTCACCTAAATATATACATTCAGAATTTACTCTTATGCAGAGACAAACAAACGTTCATTCTTTAACAAGTGGTCACATGAAATCTATAAATCATGGGAATGTTTTTAGAAAACCACATACACAAATACTATGTAATTCTACTTAAGCTTAATATGAAAATGCTAAAGTATATAAATACCAAGTCACTTTCCAGAAATATTCATTTAACTACCAATGTTAGAGGCTCAAAAAATGTTTAATAGAGTACTTTTATTAGAACACTTAGTGGTTCAACAACATATTTTTAGCCAACATAAAGATTAATATTTTGAGAAAAAGTTACCTTCTTCAAGCTTCTTTTTCAGTTCTTCTATTTCTTTCTGGAACTGACGCAGCAGAGCATCCTTTGGATCTTCATTAATTCTAGCTTTATTTTTAATATTCTTAGCACGATTGGCATACCGTAATGTACTGATAGTTTCATCATAATTGTAATCTGCTGGCCCAATATTTGCACACTGTTGAATTAGAAACATGAAACAAATCATTTTATACTTGACACAGTTAAAATTAACGTAACCATTACAAATATGTCAAAAACTGTTTAAAGCAAATATGCACCCTTGGCTTTCTTGAAAAAGAGTGTGTCAACCACATGGGTTTCCAAATGACACTATTATGGGCTAATACACGAGTGTACCACAGAAAGGACAACCACAAGTCAAAAAAAGTAAAATAATAATTTTACAAATGTGATACATAATAATTACTGGAATAAAGTGAAATCTTAAATTTGCCTGATGTTAACAGTATCACCAATTAAGTCTTACCATCATAGTTTTTGAATTTCCTCCTAAGGAATCCTGAAGAAGACGAGTCAATTTAGAGTTACGATAAGGCACATGAGTGCTTTTTCCATCAACCAAGGCAGAAATTACATTACCAAGGGTGGAAAGTGAAAGATTGATTTTTGTAGCTTCCTTTAGGCGCTGTCCAGTAGCTCCCGTTTTTGCTTGCCTTTCTGAACCCTAGCAATAAACAGAGATGAAAGTAAAAACAAAATTTAAAAAAAAACAGAATATTCATCCCAAGGTTTTATTAAAAAGTAATCTTAAAAAACTTGATACGATGCCTGGAATTCACTTCAAAATAATCTAGGAAGGGAAGAAGTGGGTGAGAGCAGGTAAAACAAGATTAGCCATGAGCTGATTGCTGGAGTTGGGTTATGTGTGTGGAGGACCATTATACTAGTCTATCCACTTTCATATACATTTGAAATGTTCCATAACATATAATAAGCGTATACAAGTAACAACTTAAAAATCATATGTAAATCATATCTCTTCACTTTAATTTTTATTCATTTATAAAATAAATGGATCACAATAAAGAGTTATTCCTTATGCAATGTCCTGTTACTTACAGCAAGATCTACAAGATGGAGCTTCCCCATCCTGACATGCATGTTACCGTCAATGCCTTTTTCACTGCATTCTATAGTAATTGTAAAGATGGCATGAGAACGGGAACTATGTTCGTTCATATTAGTTGCACCAACAGAACCTTTAATAAATAAAGGAAATCCTTAAAAAGTGTAACAGAGTGCCTTTAAAAATAATTAAACATCCAGAACAGTTTAAAATACTTAATTTCATCACAATCAAAAGCCAGAGAGCATAGCTAAACTTTAAAGGCATGGGTGTGTACTCAGCCATTATGTGAAATGTCTCTTACACTTTATGTTAACAAAATAATTTTTAAGGTTTCTCATATTAAAGACATAACATTAGCAAAAAATAATTACAATCCCAAATAATTCTGCCTAAAAAATAACTAATTTACACCCAGAAAACCAAGTTAATTGGAGAAATTATTGCGGATTTAGCTGTCTAAAGAGAATTATGCATGCTGGTGTACTGTAGGAAGTAAAAAATAACAATAATAAAGAGAATTTTAGCTGGGCTAGAATTTTAGCTACTTGGGAGGCTGGGGCACAAGAATCGCTTGAATCTGGGAGGCAGAGGTAGCAGTGAGCTGAGACTGCACTCCAGTCTGAGCAACAGAGTAAGACGCTATCTCAAAAAAAAAAAAAAAAAAATTATGTTCTAGGCATATAAACCACAGGAATATTTGCACATGTTAGAAAATACAACAATATTCAGTGCAGCATTACAAAAAATAAGGTATATCTAAAGACATGGAAAAATGCCCAGAACATATAAATTAAAAATAAAAGCAAGTTAAAAAGGAACACATAACCATAATCCTACTTATGTTAAAAGAAAACAAATCCATTCATAATGATGGATTCATAATGAATGCAAAGTATTTGTATGTGTGTAAATATTTGAATATACTGTGTAAACAAAAAACATGTATTTAAAATAGACATGTATTAGTTTTTTTCTTTAATTCCGAAGGATTTTAAAAGCATTAATTCTACTCAATGCCAAAATTATCTTCCTACAATAGATTCATGCAGAACTTTTCTATGCAAGCTTTGATTTTAGAATTTAAAGATTAAATTAGGAGATAGCTATATTAGAAGTCAGATAACATGAATGCAATTTACACCGATAGAGAAAAATAAAGCCTGATGAAAGAAGGTAAATGAAGAACTAGTGAATGAAAGCACAAGAGTTTACGATTCCATACTATATTTTTCTATATTCTTTTAAATCAAATTGAATTTTATTTTTTTGAGATGGAGTTTCACTCTTGTTCCCCAGGCTGGAGTGCAATGGCGCAATCTCAGCTAACTGCAACCTCCACCTCCTGGGTTCAAGCAATTCTCCTGCCTCGAGTAGCTGGGACTACAGGTGTGCACCACCATGCCCAGCTATTTTTGTATTTTTAGTAGAGACAGGGTTTCACCATGCTGACCACGATGGTCTCGATCTCTTGACCTTGTGATCCACCTGCCTCGGCCTCCCAAAGTGCTGGGATTATAGGTGTGAGCCACCGTACCCAGCCCAAATTGAAAAATTTTAACAACAAAATTAAAAATAGGCCAGGCGTGATGGCTCACAGCTGTAATCCCAGCACTTTGGGAGGCCGAGGCAGGTGGATCACCTGAGGTTGGGAGTATGAGAGCAGCCTGACCAATATGGAGAAACCCCGTCTTTACTAAAAATACAAACTTAGCCCAGTGTGTTGGTACATGTCTGTAATCCCAGCTACTCATGAGGCTGAGGCAGGAGACTGGCTTGAACCTGGGAGGCAGAGATTGTGGTGAGCCGAGACTGCACCACTGCACTCCAGCCTGAGTAACAGGAGCAAAAACTCCATCTAAAAAAATAATAAAAACAAAAATAAAGAGCTATTCATTTATACACCACTTCAAATCCTCTGTTCAGTAGTGACATACACGCATGTTTCCATAGAGTTATTAGGTCTTACTTTATCTTCTGGTTTTTTTCCACTTAACATTATCTCTTATGTATATTTCCATGAAAAAACAACTTGAACATTTTACTGAAATTGATTTTGTTATTTCTTTACTGTTAGAGATTTGGGATTGTTTCCTATCTTAGGCCCTTACAAGTGATACTATTATGAGCATCTTTGAATAGATCCTTTCTTTCTCTTTAGGGTTATTTCCACAGAATATATTTTCCAAACTAGAATTACCAAGTCAAAGGATAGGAACAGTGTTCTAACTATGTGATTATTAATCACACTGTAGCAGTGTTGTCCAATTTGAGGTGAGACAGAATATGTAATTTGAAAAAAAAAATCATATTAGCTGTTTTAATAACTATTGTTTTTGCAATATGAGTAAAGCATGCTATGGACAATTGTAATTTTTCTGTATTTCCTGTTACAAAAATAAGGCACTGCAGCAGACAAGCTGCTAAAAGTTACCTACATTGAACTTTACAACCACTGGGAGAGAACAGCTAATAGTAATCAAGTAGACTCAACACTCAAAACTGTTGAAACATCACATAATGAAACAAAATAAAAACCACCTTTACTGCTCTATTTTCTATCACAGTATTTATTTTTAAATATGAAAGAAAATTAAATTTTTATGCTTTTCCAGAGGGTACAGAACAATTTATTCTATAAATACACCTGCATGTGTATACTCATATACATACAAGAATGTGTACTGCAGTGTTGCTCATAATAGCAAGACTGAAGACAATCCAAAAGTCCATCAATAACAGATAGAGTAATTTATGGTACATCCATCCAACTAAAGACTATATAGTCATTTTTTAATGTCTATATATGTGGTAATATGTGTTCATGTGAAATGATCTCCAAGAAGATACTAAGTGAATAAAATACGCTATTATCTCAGAAGTTCAAGAACAGCCTGGCCAACATGGTGAAACCCCATCTCTACTAAAAATACAAAAATTAGCTGGCTGTGGTGGCAAGTGCCATTGCACTGCAGCCAGGGCAACAAGAGCAAAACTCTGTCTCAAAAAAAAAAAAAAAAAAATGCTATTATCTGACTGAAGAAAGACGACATACTTGTACACACACAGACAGTTATCAGGAAGGAAATAAAGAGGCTGCCACTAGGGATGGGAACTAGGTGACTGAGAATAAAGAGTAGGGGAGAGACTTTTTTTTCTTTCTTTTCTTTCTTTTGAGACAGAGTCTCTTTCTGTCACGCAGGCTGGAGTGCAATGGCGTGATCTCGGCTCACTGCAACCTCCGCCTCCCGGGTTCAAGAAATTCTCCTGCTTCAGCCTCTCAGAGATTTGTTTTTCATTGTATATTTTTGTGCATTTTGAGTTTTATACCAAGTATATGAATTACATATTCAAAAATAAAAATTTTTTAAAAAGGATCATAAAGGCTGAAAAACACTGCTCTAGAAATATCAACCATTTTACAAGGATGCCCACCATGTAAATGTACCTGACTAGTTTAAATGTGCATTTTAGTTGCTAGGTAGGCTGTGTAATTGTCTTTGAGATGACAAACTTATTTTCTTAAATATAAAATTAACGATTTCCCTACTACGACGACCTGTAGAAAATGGGTGCTAATCTTATATTTGTATCAATTATTCATCTATTGATAGTAGCTTTTATTATCACATTTCCCGTCTCTATCTTCCTCTTGATGGTTATTATATTTCAACATGATAATGTTTGTATTATTAATGTTTTAACTCTTCTAACTAGAAATTTGTACTAAATGTTTAATTCTTGGAGTTGATCTATTAGAGTATTTCTATCTCTGTTACTTTAGATCTTCAAATTCCTTTATCTTTGTTTCATTTTATTTCTCTCATTAGAAATTTTTTGTTTTCCTTGAACAAATCAAATATAGCACATTAAATTAATTCTCAGCTAGTTAATGAGAGCTTTTGGTCACTTCTACGAATAAAATCTTCTGTTAAAATTTTTTAAATTACATAAACAATAATAACATATTCCTGGTATTTAAATTTTTTAAATAAAGACATACAGAATGCATAAAGTGAAAGCTCCTGACATTCCTCTTCCCCAATTTTATTTCTCCTTCCCTAAAGGTAATCACTATTATCTGCCTTTCATTTTGTATTTTACATACACACATGTAAACACAGATACACACACACACACACTGCCTAAATAAATGGTTTAATAATTTTTTACATATAAATAAATGGGATAATGCACTACATACATACTGTTCTACAATTTGCTTTTCTCCCCCACTGACAAACATATTTTGAAAATCTTTCAGGTCTTTATATGCACATTTATCTGACTGGGGTTTTTTTGTTTTGTCTGGTTTGAGACAGAGTCTCACTCTGTCACCCAGGCTAGAGTGCAGTGGCGTGACCTTGGCTAATTGCAACCACCCCCTCCCTGGTTCAAGTGATCCTCCAGCCTCAACCTCCCAAGTAGCTGGGATTATAGGTGCTCACCACCACACCGAGCTAATTTTTGTATTTTTAGGAGAGACAGGGTTTCACCAGGCTGGCTAAGCTAGTCTCAAATTCCTGGCCTCAAGTGATCTACCTGCCTCAGCTACCCAGAGTCCTGGGATTATAGGCATGAGCCACCTCACCCAGCCTGTTTTGTTTTTTTGAGACAGAGTCTTGCTGTGTTGCCCGGGATGGAGTTCAGTGGCACTATCTTGGCTCACTGCAACCTCCGCCTTCCAGGTTCAAGTGATTCTCCAGCCTCAGCCCCCCGAGTAGCTGAGATTACAGGTGTGGGCCACCACCCCTGGCTTTTTTTTTTTGGTATTTTTAGTAGAGATGGGGTTTCACTATGTTGCCCAGGCTGGTCTCAAACTCCTGAGCTCAATCTCCCCACCTCAGCCTCCCAGGGTGCTGGGATCACAGCCACGAGCCACCACACCCAGCCTAACTTGTCGTTTTTAAGAGCTTTATTACAGTCTATATTTTTGTGCCATAATTTACATAATCAGTGTTCTACTGATGGTTAGATTGTAAAATCTAAAAATATTTTTCCAGAATATGTCAAAATTAGAAACACAGAGTCAAAGGGAATGTATTTTAAAATGTCAACAGATACTGTTAACATTGCCCTTCAAACATGCTGCATCAATTTATATTCCATCCCCAGTGCCCATTTCTTCAAAGTCTCACCAATCTACATATCCGTCATCCAATCTGATGGGTGAAATCTCTCTCTCTCTCTTGTTTTAATTTGCATTTTCCTGATTACTTGTGAAGTTAAACATCCTTTCACATACTTGTTACTGTGTATAGTTATTTTATAAATAACATACATATTTTTTGCTAATTTTTCTGTTAGGATTTGGTCTTTTTCTATTAATTGGTTCATAAGAATATAATTGATTTTTGAAATTTTTTGTTTAATTTCCTTGGGTTAGATAGCTCAATAGTCAAGTCATAGAAAGTTAGAAACATTTTTCATTTCCTATTTCTTATCTTTTTACATACAATATCTTTTTCTTTCTTTTTTTTTTTTTTTAAGTTGCTGTCACCCAAGTTGGAGTGCAATGGCACGATCTCCGCTCACAGCAATTTCTGCCTCCCTGGTTAAAACAACTCTGTCTCAGCCTCCCGAGTAGCTGGGATTACAGGCACCCACCATCATGTCCAGCTTATTTTTGTATTTTTAGTAGAGACAGAGTTTCATCATGTTGGCCAGGCTGGTCTTGAACGAGTGATCCACCCACCTTGGCCTCCCAAAGTGCTGTGTGGGATTATAGGCGTAAGCTACCGCAACCGGCCCTTTCACCTCTAATTTCTAATTGCTATTAGCTGCATCACTAATATTAGGTTTGAGTCATCTGTGTAATACTGCTGAAGCTTCTTATTCTAGAGACTAAAAACAAAACAATTACTAAAAAGAATGTAATTTTAAAATTTAAACTTTGTTTCGCTTTTCAACAAAAGTGAAGTATTATAGTGCCTAGTTAATGTGGACTACTGGCGTAGGTTTTTGAGATTTTTTTGGTGGGGGGATTCTTTAGGACAGGGACTCCCTATTCCCCAGGCTGGTCTCAAAGTTATGGCCTCAAGTGATCCTCCCAGTTCAGCCTCCCAAGTTGCTGGGATTACAGGAATGAGCCACGGTGCTTGGTTATGGCTTAGGTGTGATCACTCACTCTACCACTTAGTAGTTATAGTGCTTAAACAAGTTACTTAAACTAACTCTCAGTTTCTTTATTCATAAAGTAAGAATTTAATATCTTCATAGTCTCCTGTCAGGATTAAGAGATCATCCTCCTAAAGCACTTGGCACAAGCACTCTCCACAAAGTGCTCAATAAACGTTACCAATTTTACTGTTACAGCTACCAAGAGACAGCTATATGAGAGTTGCATAGATTCGCACTACTAAAAAAAACCAAAATTTTGGTCAGCATGGAAAATGACTTGTGATATCCTTCCTTCGTATATGCTCTCTACGTAGTAAATATTAAAAATGGAATGGTTTTCAAGAAACCTAAAAAATTCAGTCTCTACACGGCAAAGTGCTGTATCAGTTTTGCTCCTAAATCAGCCTACTCAACACACAGAAGTAATCACAATTACATACTATACTTACGATTTTTATGGCCTAGTGTCATAATTCTATCCATATCATCAGCATTATTTACCACATAAGCTGATAAATCTTTGATATAAACTCCCACATCAGGTCTTTCTTTAACCTAAAAAAAAAAATTAGGACTTTACACTACATCAGTAACTCTTAGACAATTATTTATTGAGCATCTCCTGTGTGTTCGATGCTCTACTAGACAGAAGGGATATAGTGATGAATAAGATAGACACTGTTCTTACACACATGGAGATGTCAGTCTATAGGAAGAACATACAAATGAATAATTACACGCAAAAATTATTTTATTTCAACTGTGATGACATGAAGAAAAATACAGAACACTAAGCTAATGAAGGAGATAGAATAAAATTCCCCAAGATGTTTAAGCTAAAATTAAAAAAAAAAAAAAAAAANAAAAAAAAAAAAAAAAAAGCAGGTAGAAAGTTGAGGTAGAAGAAAATGTTGAAGAATTCTGAAATAAGAAAAAACTAGGCACTTACAAAAAATAACAAACCAAAAAAGACAGTGTGGCTGGAGAGAACAGGAAACAGGGAAAAATAGGTGAGACATCTGGTTATATAGGAAGGCAGAGACAAGTTGAGACTAGTTTTTGGTCTTTATGGTAAGAATAATTTGGAGAATTTCAAGCAACTGAGGGAAATAATCATATCTATGGTATCAACATTAAAATATGATCTTTCTGTGAATTACCTTATGAGAATTTTTAACCAAATTTGAAGAATGTATTTAGGATGGATTTACCTAAAATACAAGTGGTGTTGTATAAACAAAATTCACTTTGGAAGGCTCAGAGTCACTTCAACAAACCAACAGAATAAAAAGTGAAACTGAGGCAGAGGCCTATGGCTGCCAGTGTTAAAAGCCATTCCACAGGTAGGAGACCTCATAGACATTGAAGACAAACAAAAATTTGATAAATAATTCCAGGGGAAAAAACTTATAAGGATACACACTCAACATTCCAGTTATTTTCAATGTGTGTGTGTGTGTGTGTGTGTGTGTGTGTGTGTGTACCTTTTATAACAACTTGTAAAATAAATTTACAAATTAGGAAAAATCCTTCATCTGTCATGGGATATAAATTAAGCCCCAATTTTATTAATAATAGAAAAAAGTGTGATAATCTCTATAAACCAGTGGATTTCAGATCTTGCTCTGAAAAGCCCTAGAGGGTCCTCGTTGGCACTGGGGGGGCCGCTGTGGGAGTTTTTGGGTCTTCAGGCCCAGAGAAGTTCTAAAGAGATGGGCACTTCCATGAATTTTACACATTCAGCTTCCATATAAGGTTTGGTTTGATGGAAGTATTTAACACTTTATACCTTTTAAAAGGTTTGAAAATTACTGGTCTATATCAATGCTTCTCCAAAAAATCTGTGATAAATGATAGGTATATTTCTAATATGATAATTTTGGAAAATACAAAAATTATGCACTTGGATTCCATGGCAATGTCAAATTGCTATGCAAGTTTTTAAGCACTTACTCTCAGTTTTTGTTCATTCTCACTGCAGACTGAAAACGAACATTCTTCGAACCGACATCTGTCTGCAAACTAGTGGTATTTTCCAATCACAATATGATATTAATTCAAAATTCGATTAGTAAGTGTATTCAATTAATAACTGATTAGACATGAAAGATGAAGAAAGAAAATATAATCCCAAATTTGTAAAAGTTAAAAAACTGGAAGGAAATGCTACCAAAGAATTTTTATCATAAAAAAAAAGGAATTCAGGCCGGGCGCGGTGGCTCACGCCTGTAATCCCAGCACTTTGGGAGGCCAAGGTGGGCGGATCACGAGGTCAAGAGATCGAGACCATCCTGGCCAACATGGTGAAACCCCGCCTCTAATAAAAATACAAAAATTAGCTGGGTGTGGTGGCGCATGCCTGTAATCCCAGCTACTTGGGAGGCTGAGGCAGGAGAATTGCTTGAACCCAGGAGGCAGAGGTTGCAGTGAGTCGAAATCACGCCACTGCACTCCAGTCTGGCGCCTGGCGACAGAGTGATACTCTGTCTCAAAAAGAAAAAAAAAAGGAATTCAATATCTATGACAAACACAATTATAACAATGGATCTCAATGGAAGCAGTTACCCCCTTGCCCTAGAATGTTTTAGAAATTTTCAGAAGAGTTTCTGGTTCACTTCAGGACAGTGTAGTATTGACAGGCAGGGGCCAGGGATACTAAACATTCTGAAATAGGTGGGACAGTCTCACCCAATGAAGAACTGTCCCATACAATTCTGAATGTCCTAACAGATATTCGCATGGTAAAAAATCTACTAATAATTATCTAAGTCTAGATCCAGATAATTATATCTAAGTGGGTCATATGTAACTTTATTTCACACATAAAGACAAAGTGCTTTTCCAGATAGCAATAATATGAGAATACAGAAAAGCTGAGGAAAGAATTATACTTTATTTTGCTCCAAATTCTACCAAGAGCTAGTCATTATTTTTAAAAAACCATGTCATTGACAGTAACACCAATCAAGGGGTTTAGATCAACAACACAACATACCTGTTGACACTGTGTATTTGTAGCTGTCACAATTTTGATGATTCTATATGCCTCTATTTTATTATATCATCAAGTGTGGTCACATCTAAGCATTTACATACCAAAATACTAGCATTTATTTTTAATTACTTGTATTCTCCTTTATATTATAGTAGGGTAGTACATGAATTTTTAAAAATATGTGTAGAGGTAGATTAATATTATTTATGAATTTTATTTCAGGACAGTCAAAAGAGCATTAAAAAATATGTTATTGGAAAAGGAGCACTGGGTCTAACAGAGTTGAGAACCATTGACAAGAATGTTCCGGAGAATAAATCTGATCTGTAATTACTGGTACAAAAATGGAAATATCCTTTTCAAATGATTTATTTCTAGAATTTGCATAAGACAACAAATTTTTAGGACATGAAAGCACAGAATTTAATAAAATATTCATCAGAACTAAAGTTGAAAACTAGCAACAAAGAAGTTTGTTTCTACATTTGCTATATAAATGGTATCACAGAATAAGGCTTCATGAAGGTCCAACAAGCACAAACAAGCACAAACAATACTTAACACTGTAATACATTATTCCAAAAACTGTTTATGCAGTAAACTTAAAAGGAAAAAAAAAAAGCTAACATTTATTGGTTATTTTATGTCAGGCACTGATTTAAACACTCTAATCTGTTACTACCGGTAATTATCCTATGAAGTAGACACCATTACTTCCATTTTTATGACCAAACCAAGGCTCATAGAGATTAAGTAACCTGATCAGAGCCAGATTTCAATCTAAGATGGTAGACTGATAGAACCACCTTCTTAATTCTAGATAATACTGCCATTCACTTGCTATGTGACCTTGAGCAAGTCAAGAAACCCCTCTAAATTTCAGTTTCCACATCAGTAAAATCAAACTGCTGGGAAGAGTAAATGAAATAAACGATTTACTACTATCAATAACCAACAATTACTGCACTGAATGCCTACATCGCATTGCAAGGGCTCAGTAATGCTGGCTACTTAATATAGAGTACACATACTCTATATCATTCTACAATGCTGGCTACTACTCTTCTGTATCTTATTCCACTGTTAACTCTACCTGCATTATTCTCCTCTATTTTACTGGTGATACGATCCAACTAAAATTCCAATATTAACATTTTCTTGCTGTATGTCTCACACCTTAAAATATGACAGTATGTGGCAATATCAAATTTACCAATCATTTACCACTTGACTCAGCAATCCTCCTTCAGTATTTTATCCGCAGATATGTCTGCAGATGTATGACATTATGTATGAATGAGGTTATTGAAAATATCAAAAGCATCTTTTGTTTAAAAAAAGGCAGGGGGGAACCTTAATTTAGTAAACATTCTACTGCTTTGGAAAAAATACTCCTCCAAATTCCAATTATCCTTACCTCTAACCTTTGTGTCTGATCCTTTCCCAAAAGGTCACGAACTTCTTCATTATATATTTCCAAATAAGACACTCGAACCAAAAACCTATAAATAAAACATCATTTTTAAAAAGTCAGAGTGAAATATTTATAAGAACAATTTTAAAACATGTTTACATAATTTATACCTAAGTGCCTTTCCTGTGTTTGTACTTCTCAATATTAGAAAATAAAAGAATTATTTTACCTTGTATCACCCTCTGCTTTTGCAATATGACCAAATATGTGAGCAAATGAATTGGGAATTATTCCTCTAAGTTCAGGAACAGCTCGAACACCTTCCATGGTAAAAGTTTTGCCTGTTCCAGTTTGTCCATATGCAAAAATAGTCCCTGAAAATGATGACAAGAATTAGTTACTTCTTATGCTACAGAACAATAGCTCTTAATTCCTTTGAAACTGTGATGTCAAAAAAAAAAAAAAGAAGAAAGAAAGAAAGAAAGAAGAAAAGAAAAGAAAGAAAGAAACTGTGATGTAATTTCTTCCCTGGATTCAAAATTTATTCTAGCACAAGTTTCACCTTTATTATCAACAATTACAATATGTACTCTGTACCACAGGCACAAAGTACTGTTACAGCACCAATGAGAGATATCCCTAATAATTAATAAAAAGCATCCCAAGCCCTAAATGCAAAAATCGTACAATATATCTGAGACATTTCTTATCATGTGTACATGAGGTACTTATTGTGGACATTAAACTGGAGATGGTAGTATAAGCACAACAAAAGAATACAGGCTCTAGAGCAGAAAGACCTTAGTCTCAAACCACATCTGCCAATGGCAAAATGGGGTAAGAATTACAACTCGCCATTGACAGGAAGAACGAAATCAGGCAATTTTCCTCAAGTGACAAATATGACATCTCATAGAAAGTATCAGTAAAATGATAGCTTTTTTCTTTTTTTTTTTTTTTTTTTTTTTTTTTTTTTTTTTTTTTTTAGATGGAGTCTCGCTCTGTCACCAGGCTAGAGTGCAGTGGCACAATCTCGGCTCACTGTGACCTCCGCCTCCCAGATTCAAGTGATTCTCCTGCCTCAGCCTCCCGAGTAACTGGGACTACAGGCGCACGCCACTACACCTGGCTAATTTGTGTATTTTTAGTAAAGACAGGGTTTCACTATTTTGGCTAGGATGGTCTGGATCTCTTGACCTTGAGATTCACCCACCTTGGCTTCCCAAAGTGCTGAGATTATAGGCATGAGCCACTGCTCCCGGCCAATAGCTTTTTTTCTTAGTCCTAAAATAAGTGTGTTTTTAAAAAACTGTTTGAAAGTAACAACTATAAGAAATACAGTTAACAAAAAGATCACAATACAATTATTACAGGTAATTACAGATACAATCTAAATTTTCTAAATACCTAAATTCATTCATTCAACAAATCTGAGTCTGGTATTGTGCTAGGCACGAGACACAGAGTGACAAGACAAACACAATCCTTAATTTTATGATGTGTGTAATCTTGGGGAGGAGATACTGATGGAACAATTATAATCATGATGAGTACCGAAAATAAGAAACAGAGTTCTAGATGGGAGTAAGGGACACAAATTAGGCAGAGAAATTGTAATGGGATAAAAGGAGAGGGAGTCAGGGAGGACTTTCCAAAAGAGGTAAGGTTTAGATAGGAACAGCATGGACAGCAAGAAGCAGGAAAAAGAATGGAAATTTTGAGGACTGAAATGAGACCAGAATGGAATAAACAGACATGGAAAGGGAAGGTAGATGCAGGCAGAGCTACTAGAGAAATTGGCAATGCCCTAATCACACTGTGTCATAAGGACCATATTAAAGTTTTTAGACCTTATCTTAAAAGCAACATGAAGCCACAGAATAATTTTTCAATCAGAGGAGTGACATCATGATCACTATGGCTATATTGTGGACCAAGAACTGGAGAAAAGCAAGGGTAGATGTGAAGAAAACAGTTAGAGGGCTGGAGGAGTTGACCAGGACACAGTGTGCAGTAAGAGAAGACAGCCTTGGATGTGATGGCATATATGAAAATGGTTCAACTATTACTACACTATTCAGTTAACCTCAACTTTTCTTAGGCTTTTTTTGTGAAAATAATCATAACACACTTTTCAGACTTTTCTGTGAAAATAAGTGATTCATATCAGAAGCCATGTTTTACACACGGGAATATAAGAGTCTCAATTTTTTCAAACTGACTAAATATTTCAAACTCTGCCAGAAGGAATATAATATTGCACTCAAGCTGAAAATATCATGAACTCCTAGACTGCATTTCAGAATAGACAGTGAATTATGAAATAAAAAGCAAGCTTTATAAGGACAACAGCTATCACTTACTGATCATTTGCTATGTGCTAGGCCATTTCCTTTCATGCTTTTTTTGTTGTTGTTTTTTAAAAGAGATGAGGTCTTGTCCTGTCAGTCAGGCTAGAGTTCAGTGGCATGATCATAGCTCACTGCAGCCTCAAATGCCTGGGCACAAGACATCCTTCTGCCTCAGCCTCCTGAGTAGCTGGGATTACAGGTGTACCTCCTGGCTATGTCTGCATTCTTATTTAACTTTCACCTCAATCCTAAGAAATAGGCACTATTTATTATTATTACTATTATTTGAAAATAAAAAACTATGGCCAGGCACCGTGGTTCATGCCTCTAATCCCAGAACTTTGGGAGGTCAAGGAGGGTGGATCACTTGAGGTCAGGAGATCAAGACCAGCCTGGTCAACATGGTGAATGCCCACCTCTACTAAAAATACAAAAATTACTCAGGTGTGGAGGCACACACCTGTAGTCCCAGCTACTTGGGAGGGTGAAGCACAAGAATTGCTTGAACCTGGGAGGCGAAGGCTTCCGTGAGCCAAGATTGCACAACTGCACTCCAGTCAGGGCAACAGAATGAGAGCCTGTCTCAAAAAAACAAAATAAAAATAATAAACTAAAAAATAAGAATAATAAACTATATTCTGGGCTTGGTGCCATGGCTCATGCTATAGTCCCAGCACTTTGAGGGGCTGAGGTGGGAGAATCACCGGAGCCCAGAAGTTCAAGGTCAGCCTAGGCAACACAGTAAGACCCCATCTCTACAAAACACTTTAAAAATTACCCAGGCGCGCATAAAAGGAATAAAATAACGGCATTTGCAGCAACCTGGATGGAGCTAGAGACTACTGTTCTAAGTGAAATAACTCAGAAACGGAAAATCAAACATTGTATGTTCTCACTTATAAGTGGGAACTAAGCCTATAAGGGTGCCAAGGCACAAGAATGATACAATGGACTTTGGGGGCAGAAGGGGAAGAGTGGGAGTGGGGTGAGAGATAAAAGATTACACACTGGGTACAGTGTACACTGCTTGGGTGATGGGTGCACCAAAATCTCAGAAATCACCACTAAAGAACTTATTCATGTAACCAAACACTCACTACCTGTTCCCCAAAAACTTTTTGAAATACAAAATAAATTTCAAAAAATTAGGCAGACATGGTGGCATGTAACTGTAGTCTCAGCTACTGGGAAGGCTGAAGCGGGAGAATCACTTGAGTCCAAGAAGTTGAGGCTGCAGTGAGCCATGACTGTGCCACTACACTCCAGCCTGGGTGACAGGGCAAGACCTTGTCTCAAAAAAAACAAAAATAAACAAATACAACAACAAAAACAAAAACTATCTTCTGGATCATAAAACAAGTCAATAAATTTAAAAAGATTCAAGGCATACAAAGTATGTTATCTAACTAAATTGAGATTAAGTTAGAAATCAGTAACAGAAAAATCTCTAGAGAATCTAAACATATCTGGAAACTAAATAACACATTTCTAAATAACCCAGGATCAAAGAAGAAATCAGGAGGTAAAACAGTGAATACAGTATGTCAAAATCTGTGGGATGACACTAAAACAGTAATGAGCAGCAAATTATAGCATTAAACTCCCATGTTAGAAAGGAAAAAAAGTCTCAAAACAATGGCCTCAGCTTCCATCTTAAGTAGAAAGAAAAGAGGAAATTAAGCCCAAAGTAAGTAAGAGAAAAGAAACAATAAAGCAGAGCAGAAATAGATGAAATAGGAAACATAAAAGCAGGAAGAAAAAGTATTAAAACAAAAACTGGTTCTCTGAGATCAGTAAGATTGATAAACCGCTCGTCAGACTAATCAGGAAAAAAAGAAAAGATGTAAGTTACCACTATCAAGAATGAGAAAAGTTACACCACTACATTCAACATCCTAAAGGAATAATAAGGCAATAGTATAAACAACTTTCTGTCAATGAATTTGACAACTTAGGTGAAACAAATTCCATTAATGACAAGCTACCAAACCTCACCTAAGAAAAAACAGGCCAGGCGTGGTGGCTCACGCCTGTAATCCCAGCACTTTGGGAGGCCGAGGCGGGTGGATCACGAGGTCAAGAGGTCGAGACCATCCTGGTCAACATGGTGAAACCTCGTCTCTACTAAAAATACAAAAAATTAGCTGGGCATGGTGGCGCATGCCTGTAATCCCAGCTACTCAGGAGGCTGAGGCAGGAGAATTGCCTGAACCTAGGAGGCGGAGGTTGCGGTGGGCCGAGACCACGCCATTGCACTCCAGCCTGGATAACAAGAGGGAAACTCTGTCTCAAAAAAAAAAAAAAAAAAAAAAAAACAAAACTTAGCCGGGCCTGGTGGCGTGCACCTGTAATCCCAGCTATGCAGGAGGCTGAGGCAGGAGAATCACTGGAACCCATGAAGCAGAGGCTGCAGTGAGCCAAGACTGTGCCACTGCACTCCAGCCTGGGCGACAGAGCAAGACTCTGTCTAAAAAGAACAACAACAACAACAAAACCAGAAAATAGGTTACCTGGCCAGACATGGTAGCTCAGGCCTTTAACCCCCATGATTTGCAAGGCTGAGGTAAGAGAACTGGTTGAGTCCAGGAGTTCAAGACCAGCTTAGGAAACATAGTGAGACTCTTATCTCTACCAAAAAAATAAAATTATTAAATTAGCCAGGCATGGCGTGGTGGCACATACATATAGTCCCACCTACCTGCGCACTGAAGTGGGAGGATCACCTGAGCCCAGGAGGCAGAGGTTACAGTGAGCCATAATCGTACCACTGCACTCCAGCTTGGGCAATAGAGTGAGACTGTCTCAAAAAATAGAAAAAATTAACCAGTCATGGTAGCACACACCTGTAGTCTCAGCTACTGGGGAGGCTGAAATAGGAGGACTGTTTAAACCCAGGAAGTTGAGGTTGCAGTGAGCTATGATTATGCCACTGTACTATAGCCTGGGCAACAGAGTAAGACCCTGACTAAAAAAGAAAAAGAAAAAATATTGAATCTATAGTTGAAAACCTTCCCACAAAGAAAACTTCAAACCCAGATGGCTTCACCAACGAATTCTACCAAACATTTAAGAAATAATACCAATTCTAGATAAATTCTCCTAGAAAACTGAAAAAAAAGGAATACTTTCTAACTCATTCTATGAAACTAGCATTATCACAATACCCAAACCAGAAAAAGGGATTAGAAGAAAACTACATACTTAGATCCCTCATGAACACGGATGCCAATTTTTTTTTAATTTAGCAAATAAATCTAGCAATATATGAACAGAATAACACATTATAACCAAGTGGCAAAGCTAGTTTCACATTCAAAAATCAATCAATGTAATTGATCATATTAACAAACTTCAAAAAATTATTTCAATAGGTGCAGAAAAAATTATATTTGACAAAATCCAATATACGTTCCTGAAAAAACTCTCAGCAAACTAAGAATGGAAGGGAACTTCTCAAACTTACAAAGGATATCGGTTAAAATCTACAAATATCATTATACTGGTAAAAGAATGAATGTATTTTCCCTAAGATCAGAACAAGACCAAAATGTCCACTCTCACCTCACCACTTCTAGGCAACATTTCCTGGAGGTTCTAGCCTCCACGTGCTATCAGGTAACAAAAAGAAATTAAAGGCATAAAGATTAGAAAGAACAAAGTAAAAACTGTCTTTACTTGCAGACAACATATTCTTATATGTGGAAAATCCTACAAATTTTACAAGAATAAACTATTAGAATTAATAAGCAAGTTTAGCAAAGTTGCAGGATACAAGGTCAATATACAAAAATCAACTGTGGGTACTAAGACGGCAATCATCAAAAAGACAATAACAAGTGCTGACAAAGATGGAGAGAAATCAGAAACCTCACACAGTGCTGATAGGAATATAAAATGGTGTAGCCACCATAGAAAAGTTCAGCAGCTCCTCAAAACATTAAACAGAGTTACCATGCAAGCCAGTAATTCCACTCCTAGTTATACACCCAAGAGAAACTAAACATATGTTCACACAAAACTCTGTAAAAGATTGTTTGAAGTAACATTATCTGTTAACAGCTAGAAAATAGGAACAACAAATGGTCACCAACTAATAAATGGATAAACAAAATATATCTATACAGTATTATTCAGACATAAAAATTCATTAAAATGAAGTGCTGATATATGTTACAATAGAGATGAAACTTGAAAACACTGTAAGTGAAAGAATCATTCACAAAAGGCCACATAGCATACATTCCATTTATAGAAAATGTCCAGAATAGGCAAACTCATAGATATAGATAATAAATTAGTAGCTGCTGGGTTGGGAGAAGGGAGGTGGTAATGGATTGGGAGTGACTGACTGATAATGGATACAGGGTTTCTTTTTGGAGTGGTAGAAATGTCCTGGAAACAGACAGCAGCGACAGCTGTACGACATTGTAAATGCTCTAAAAACTTACGAATTGTAAAACTGTAAAATGGTTAAAATCATAAATTTACATATTTGAATTTTATCTCAATTAAAAACCCACCTAAAAAAAATCAATTTTTTTTTTTTTTTTTGAGAAGGAGTCTTGTTCTGTCACCCAGGCTGGAGTGCAGTGGCACGATCTCAGCTCACTGCAACCTCTGCCTCCTGGATTCAAGTGGTTCTCTTGCCTCAGCCTCCTGAGCAGCTGGGATTACAAGGATGAGCCACCATGCCCAGCCAAGAAATCAATTTCATCTCTATATATTAGTAACATACAATCCAAAATTGAAATTATGAAAGCAGTTCTATTCACAACAGCATAAAAAAACTTACGAATAATCAAAACAAGCGCAAGACTTGTACATTAAAAGCTACAAAATACAGATGAGGGAAATTAAGATATAAATAAATGGAGAGAAGCTGGACATGGTAGCTGACACGGGTAATCCCAGTGCTTGGAAAGGCCTAAGCAGAAGATTGCTTGGGTCTAGGAGTTTGAGATCTGACTGAGCAACACAGCATAACCCTGTCTTTACAAAAACAAAAAAATTAGCCAGGCATGGTGGTGCCCAGCTGTAGCTCTAGTTACTCAAGAGGCAGAAGCAAGAGGATAGCTTCAGCTGAGTTCAAGGCTGCAGTGAGCTATGATTGCACCACCGCACTCCAGCCTGGGCAACAATGCAAGACCTCGTCCAAAATTAATTAATTAATGTTTCAACGTTTCAGACGGAGAGAAGTATCATGTTCATAAATTGGAAGACTCATTACTGTTAGAATAACAATTCAACACAATCCCTATGAAAATCCTAGAAGGATAAACTTCAAAAACATTTGATGTGGAAAAAAAACATATAAGAAAGATGACATATGACATGACTGATACGAAATTTCAAGAAAAGGCAAAACTATAGTGACAGAAGGTAGATCAATGGTTGCTTGGGGGTGGGTCTGCAAACGGGCACAAAGTAACTTTTGGGGATGACAGGAGTATTCTAAAGCTGGATTGCGATGATGGTTTCACAACTGTATATTTTACTACACTCACCAAACTGCAGAGCTGCAATAGGTGAATTCATGGCACATTAATTATGTCTCAATAAGGGTGTTTTTAAAAAGTAAACTATATACTCACCATTGTAGCCTTCAAGTACAGAATCAATAATAGGTCTTGCAGTTAAGTTATAAACATCAAGTTGTTTACTCTCTGGTCCAAAAACAGTATCAAAAGTAAATGTCTTCGGAGGTTCATTGGAAGAATCAGTCTTATGTACAGTGATAGTTCCCCTCATCTCATCCACATTGACAGCTTGTTTGTAGCACATTGATTTCTCTCTCTCATTGAGGGGCCGGCACCTAACAACAACCTTCACATTATCGCAGCTTTCTGGCTTCTCTGATTTATTGATCTGTTGGAGATATTTACAAATAATGAAAAGAACATTTATTTTTACCCTCAGCAGATTAAATTTACAAATTTTAAAAGGCTACTTTGCCACCTTAGTGCCTTGCACACATTAAACACTTCGTATTTGTTAAATGCAATTAAAGATCTTACATGTAGATGAAAAGTTTATTAAAAGGTACAAAAAGGAAAAAAGTTTCTTTTAAAATATAAAAGAAGGGAGAGAAAGTTTAGTTTACATCTGCGACAAAAGCTGTACAAGCAGAAACTGAATCAATATATTATAGATTGTCTTTCTACACAAGTCTCTGACCCTGAGTTTCCTGCCTGTAGGAAACACATGTGAACATAGTTAACAACTTTAACTCAAAATATAGTAGATCCTTTGTTTCCCCTGAGACTTCTAGTTGTATTTCCTATAATGCATCCGTAAAATGGTTTTTATCATTTCCTATAATGCATCTGTAAAATGGCTTCTCTACAGAAGACAATAAGATAAAGATAGAAAAAAGTTTAAACGGCAAAGAAAAATGCCTTAGTATGACCTCAACTTATGAGCATTTGTATATATAAAGTTTCCATTTCTGAAATTTTTTTTTCTTTTTTTGAGACAGTGTCTCACTCTGTTTCTTACCCAGGCTGCCGTGCAGTGGCACGATCTCAGCTCACTGCAACCTCCACTTCCCAGGTTCAAGTGATTCAGCTGTCTCAGTCTCCCAAGTAGCTAGGATTACAGGTGCCCGCCACTATGCCTGGCTCAATTTTGTATATTTAGTAGAGATGGGGTTTTATTATGTTGGCCAGGCTGGTCTCGAACTCCTGACCTCAAGTGATCCACCCACCTTGGCCTCCCAAAGTGCTGAGATCACAGGCGCGTGCCACCGTACCCGGCCATTTCTGAAATTTTATGATTAAGAAAAAATGATGAAACACAATCCTATTATCGAAAAGGACAGTTTAGTTGAACAGATACTTGTTAAATTCCTACTGTTTCAGATTCTCTTCTAAGCCTTAAAGAGAAACAACATAAACCATTGTCACTGACTTTGACGTTGTCATTGACAAATAACAGATTACATCAATACAATCGCACTTCTATCTCTGCCTTCATCACCCTAGTCTAAATCGCCATCATCTTGGCCCTGGACTACTGACTCCTAACTATACTCCTGAATCTAATTACATTCCCCTACTGCCTGTTCTCCACATAGCACTCAGTGTCAACACAAATCTAATCATGTCACCCTCCTACTTAAAAATTCTTCAGTGGTTTCCCATAGATCTCAGACTAAAACCAGAACCCTTAAGGTGGCCTGTAAGATCTGGCTTCCACCCATGTCTGCTTTTCTGGGCTTATTTCACAAGATACTCTCCCTGGCTCATCCATGCCACAGCCACACTGAGCTTCTTGGCCTTTTCTTGTCATCATGCTCCTCACCACTGGACTTTTCCATGTGCTGTTCCTTCTGCCTAGAACCTTCTTCAATCCCTGCTTCACTTAGTAACATCTATGTATCCTTCAGAACTCAACAGCCACTTCACCTGGGAAGACTTCCTGACTACTTCAAATACTCTTATAGGCTGAGAGAGCCCCCTGCTCTCCCCTTCCTGGACACAATTTTACTTTCACTTGCTCCTTATTTGATTAATGTCTTTCTCTCTGTCTACACCAGAGGTTGCAAACAGGTAGTCAAGAGGCTAAATTCGGTCCACAAATTTCCTTTATTTGGTTCACAGTATTTAAAGCGCTTTTGAATTAGTTGCTAAAATTGAGAACTTTCACTAAAACAATCCCTAAAGTCTCTTCTTGGGAGGAAAAAAAAAAAAACAAATACTCTGAAATCATCTGCAGACCATCATTGTCACATGGCAATACTTTCCAATTTACCAGTATCTACTTCCCTCTATTGTAGGATATCCAACCACTTTATTCATTAAGGTTATGTGTCTTATCTCTGTAAATACGTATGGTTTTCACCTCTGCCCAAGAAGGCAAGCCTCTCTCTTTCCAAGTTCAAGAACCTGATTGGTTTTGCTCAATATTGTATCTTCAGAGCCTAGCATGTGGTTGGTGCCCAGTATTTATTGAATTAAAAATGTGAAAGCAATGAACAGGAACAAATATAGAGCATTTAGCCCTAAATGTTAAGCACTGTCCTTCTAGTCTCCTGCGCATTATCTTATTTCACCAGGCTAACAAGAAGCCCATGAGGAAAAGTTTATGTGGGAACTAAGCACCCACACAGATTATCTGAGGCCTCACAACCACTAAACAAGCGGCCATGGCTCAATTTTCCTCCATGACCCCTAATAAGGCGTCTTACAAGGCCCCATTATTAAGTTCACGATAACAATCTGTGAAATCTTGTAAGATAAACACACCACCACCACCACCACACAAAGACACCTTCGAGTTTCATTCTGCACCATAAGCTAAAGCGCCTCAAGAGGACTGACAGCTAGCTCAAGGCTATGAGTCGCAGTCTCCGGCCTGGAAAAGGGGCAGCCTTCGCTTCGTCGCCTCCCTGAGCCTGTTCTGCGCAAAGGCCCCACGAGGTGCGGGGCATCCAAAGAGACGCTCCGCGGCCAGCCCGAGACGCCCCACTCAGCAGGCAGGGATGCGAGCCAGAGCGCATCCTCCAGTTCAGCGCCTTTTTGATAAGCGATGCAGGCCCCACGGAATGCAGCAGCCACAAAGGCGGCAGGGCCTGCCCCTAGGCCCCTCTCGAGGCCGTCCGGACCCCGGCGGCTCCGGGGCTGACCAGCCAGGCTCTCCAACCACCCAGACCGCACGGCCGGGCCTGCCCCGCCCCACCCTGGCCGCCCGCCTGCTCCGCGCCTCCATGGCAACGGCCGCGCCCCCGGGCCAGGCAGCTGGGATGAGAAGAAACCCCAGAGGTAAAGCGACTCTCCTCACCGGCATCGTGGCCCCTTCCCGTGCCCGGCGGACGAACCCGCCTGCAGTGCAGCCCAACGACACCGGGTGCGCAGAAAGGCTGGCCAGAGACTACGAAACACCTCCTTGATGCTCTCGAGACTGCGGCTCCTCCGGCGAGAGTGCCCAGTGCGCAGGCGCATTCCGAGCTCGCCCCGCCCCAACGCCTGTCTCAGGCTCACTCCGCCCTTGAATTACGCCTGCGCCGGGGCTTTCGGAGTCCAACTCCTAGGACGCCAGACTGAGGCCGCGCGTGCGCAATGCTGCCATTCTGCTGCGCTGGAAACGTGGCCCGCACTGAGGCGGAGATACCTACCTTGTAGCCCCGGGTTGGCAAGAGGAGCAGCTCCTAGATCTCAAGGCCCGTCTTCTGGAGCTTGCAATACCCGGAATATTAAAATTAATAATAGCAATTGTACATTTTGTCTCATCCGAAGACCTAAAGACCTTACCTACCTGACCTCTCTTGATTGCTAATTTCCTCATGACCTGTCTTACCATTAGAAAGTGAGCTCTTGCCAGTCGCAGTGGCTCACGCCTGTAATCCCAAAACTTTGGGAGGCTGAGGTGAGCGGATCACCTGAGGTTGGGAGTTCGAGAACACCCTGACCAACATGGAGAAACCCCATCTTTACTAAAAATACAAAATTAGCCGGGCGTGGTGGCGCATGCCTGTAATCCCAGCTACTTGGGAGGCTGAGGCAGGAGAATCGCTTGAACCCGGGAGGCGGAGGCTGCAGTGAGCCGAGATTGTGCCCTTGCACGCAAGCCTGGGCAACAAGAGCTAAACTACATCTCCAAAAAAAAAAAAAAAAAGAAAGAAAGAAAAGAAGGGAAGAAAGTGAGCTCTTAAGGAGCCTGTAAGTATTCTCGCATGTATCTCCAGAGCCTACACAGAGCCTAGCACACAATGGGATTTTCATACATGTTGGTCAGAAAACCAATGATCCGTCCATCCTCTTTCTAGTCCACTTGAATGTGTAACGGGCATTTCAAGTTAATCATGTCCAGAATTGAAATCTTGATCCCCCATCAATCTCCCCACAACCCCACTCTACCCCTATCAAAAAAAATTAAAAAGGGCTCCCTCTCATCTCTCTCAGACTTCCTTCATCTCAATGTATGGAAACGTAATTCTGACAATTGCTCAGATCAAAACTGCAGTCTCTTTCACACACAATATTCTATCTTTCAATAGCTCCTGTTGTATCTGTCTTCGTAGTGGAACCAGAATTTGGCCACTTCTACCACCACCACCGTGCCTCACATGTATTACGGCAATAGCTCAGAGCTGGTTTCCTTGATGGTGTCCTTGTCCCCTTTCAGTGTGTTGGACAGGAGCCAGAGTGCTCGTGTTAAAAATGAATCAGATCTTCTCTCTTCTCTGCTCAAAACCCTCCATTGATTTCCCATCTCACAAAGCTAAAGCCACAAGCCCTACGATCCTCCCTCTTGCTTCTTCTGCACCAGCCCCACCTGACCTCCTTGCTTCCTCCAACATTCCTGGCATGCTTCCATCTGAGCATGCAAGTTCTGTGAGCTTGCAGTAGGAACTGATGAAAATAACTATATAGCATTTTACGTAGTGACAGTGTACTGTTCTACATGTTTTACTTTCTTTTTTAATTCATTTAATCCACATAATAACCTTTTGAAATAGATACTATTATTATTTACAGATAAAGTAAAATGAGGTACAGGATTATTAAATAACTTTTCCAAGGTCATACATATGAACAATGACAGGGCCCAGATCCAAACCCAGGCAGCCCAGAAAGCTCCTTCCCTAAGTAACCACCTGACCCACTCACCTCCTCCAGAAAGTCTTTGTTCACATGATACCTTCCCAGTGAACCCTAACATGATTTCCCTATTTAAAATTTCAACCCTCAGCCCCAATTCTTTTTCCCTCCCTACTTTATTTTTCTCCATAGTACTTATCACCATTCAATATTTTGTATATATATACACACATACAAGCTTTACTGAGATATAATTTACACATCATATCATTCAGTTCACCACTTTAAATTGTACAAGTCAATAGTTCTTACAACATATGGAGTTGTGCAACCATAACCTAGAACATTTTTATCATTCCAAAAAGACACTCTATACTCATAAACCACTCCCCCTTGGTCTCTGCAGCCCTGCTCCCACCCTGCTCCCAACATCCCAGCCCTAGACAGCCATCAGTCTACTTTCTATCTCTATGGATTTGCCTATTTTGGACATTTCATACAAATGAAATTACACAATATGCAGCCTTTTGTGAGTAACTTCTTTCACTTTCAATAATGTTTTCAAGCTTTATCCCTATTGTAGCATATATCAACAATTTGTTGCTTTTTATGGCTGAATAATATTCCATTGTATGGCTATAACATGTTTTTTACCTGTCATTGGATATCTGGGTTGTTTCTCCTCTTCGCCTATCATGAATAATGCCACTACAAGTTTTTGTATCGACCTATGTTTTCATTTCTCTTGGTTGCATATCTAGAAGTAGAACTGCTGTATCATTTGGTAATGCTAATGTTTAACATTTCGAGGAAATACCAAGTTGTTTTCCACAGTAGTGCACCATTTTAAATTCCCACCCGTAATGTGTATGTAAGGTTTACAATTTCTCCACATCCTTGCTAACACTCACTTTTGTGTAAAGTAGTATCTTGCTGGAGTTTTTATTTATTTTCACTTCCCTGATCATAATGATGGTGAGCATTTTTTTCATATGCTTTTGCAATTTGGATAACTTCTTTGGAGAACTGTCTATTCAAACCCTGTACCCGTTTTATTTGTCTTTTCATTATTAGGTTATAAGAGTTTTTTATATATTCAGAAGGCAAAGCCCTTTTCAAGTATATGACATGCAAATATTTTCCCCCATTCTGAGGGCTTTCTTTTTACTTTATTGCTATCATCCTTTGAAGCACAGTTTTAAATTTTGATCAAGTTCAATTTACGTATTTTTTCTTTTGTCACTATGTTTTTGGTGCATATGTAACCCATATTTCCTAACCCAAGATCATGAAGATTTACTCTTCTAAGAGTTTCATAACTTTTGCTGTCACATTCAGGTCTATGATCTATTTTGAGGTTTTTTGTTGTTTTTTGAGATGGAGTTTCACTCTTGTTGCCCAGGTTGGAGTGCAATGGTGCAACCTCCACCTCCCGGGTTCAAGCGATTCTCCTGCCTCAGCCTCCGGAGTAGCTGGGATTACAAACAAGCACCACCATGCCCGGCTAATTTTGTATTTTTAGTAGAGATGGGATTTTTCCATGTTGGTCAGGCTGGTCTTGAACTCCTGACATCAGGTGATCCACCTGCCTTGACCTCCCAAAGTGTTGGGATTACAGGTGTGAGCCACCATGCCCAGCCCTGTTTTGAGTTATTTTTGTATACGGTGTGATGGAGGTATCCACATTCATTCTTCTGCATGTGAATATCCAGCTGTCCCAGAACCATTTGCTAAAAAGACTATTCTTGTCTATAGCCATACCACCCTGAATGAGCCTGATCTTGTCTGAAAAAAAACTGTTCTTTACCCCGTTGAACTGGCACCTTTGTTAAACTGATCATAAATATGAGCATTGATTTCTAGACTCTCAGTTCTAGTCCATCGATGTATATAGTCCATCCTAATAGCAGTACCACACTGTCTTGACTAGTGTGTGTTTGTGGTAAGGGTTGAAATTAGATAGTGTGGGGCCTCCAACCTTTCTCTTTTTCAAGATTGTTTTGGCCATTTTGAATCCCTTGAATTTCTATAAAAATTTCAGGAACACTTTGTCAATATCTGCAAAAAGACAGCTGGAATTTTAACAGGGATTATGTAAAATATGTAGATTAATTTGGAGAGTATTGCCATTTTAACAATTTAAGTCTTCCTACCCATGAATGCAGAATGTCTTTCTATTTATTTAGGCTTTCATTTCTTTTAGTGACGTTTTGTAGTTTTCAATGTACGAGTTGTACATTTTTTGATTCTATTAATATTTTTCCCCAATTCTTTTTTCTTGAGATGGAGTCTCACTTCTTCACCCAGTCAGGAGTACAAAGGTGTGATCTCAGCCCACTGAAACCTCCACCTCCTGGGTTCAAGTGATTCTCTTGCCTCATCTTCCTGAGTAGCTGGGATTACAGGCACGTGCCACCATGCCTGGCTAATTTTTGTCAGAAGTTTTTTATTCATTTTATGTTGATGTAAATGAAACTATTTTTAAAATTTCATTGTCAGATTATTCATTATAGTGTATAGAAATAAAATTGACATTTATAGTACATTGATTTTATACTCTGCAACTTTCCTAAACATCTTTTAAGTGGATTCCGTAAGATTTTCTATATACAAAATCATATCATCTGCAAATAAAGATGAAATTATTTCTTTCCCACCTGATGCTTTTTCTTGCATAATTGCTCTGGCTAGACCCTGCTGTACATTGTTGAACAGAAGTGGTGAAAGCAGATATTCTTGTCTCATTGATGACTTCAGGTGAAAAGCATTTGGTCATTTACCATTAAGTCTGATGTTAGATGCAGGTATTTCATAAATTGCGCTTTATCACGCTGGAAAATTTTCTAGTTTGTGAAGTGTTTTTTATTATGAAAAAGTGTCAGATTTTCTCAAATGCTTTTTCTAATATAATGTGTTTATGATCAGATAGATATTGATTTTTAGATGTTAAAACCAACCTTTCTTTTCTGACAGTCTCTGTCTTTTGGTTAGAGCATCAGGGTGATACTTGCCTCACAGAATAAGCTGAGGATAGGGAGCAAGTTCTTCTTAGAAGGGGACTAATTCCATCACAAGGGTCTCACCCTCACAATGTCTGAGAGCCCTAATTTCCTCGCAAAGGCTTCATCTCTAAATACCATCACATTGCAGGTTAGGGTTTCAAAATATCAATTTGCAACAGGGTGAGGTGGTTCGCTACTGTAATCTCAGCACTTTCAGAGGCTAAGACAGTTGGATCACTTGAGGTCAGGAGTTCAAAACCAGCCTAGCCAACATGGCTAAACCCTATCTCTACTAAAAATAGAAAAATTTAGCTGGGCATGGTGGCGCATGCCTGTAGTCCCAGCTACTCAAGCGGCTGAGGCAAGAGAATCACATGAACCCAAGAGGCCGAGGTTTCAGTGAGCTGAGATGGTGTCACTGCACTCCAGCCTGGATGACAGAATGAGACTCTGTCTCAAAAACAAAAAACAGACAAACAAATATGAATTAGGAAGGGACACAAACATTCAGTCTGTAACACAGCCCTATCAGACTTAATACAATTGTTTAATCCATTCACATTTAACATTATTGATAATATTAGATTTAAGTCTCCCATTTTCCCACTTTGCTTTTTGTTTTCCCTCCCTCCCTCCCGTGCTCTCTCCCTCCCTCCTTCTCCATCTCTTTCTTTCTCCTACCTTCCTTCCTTCCTTCTTTCAGGTGGGGTCTCACTCAGTCTCACTGCAGCCTCAACTTCCTGGGCTCAAACCATCCTCCTGCCTCAGCCTCCTAAGTACCTGGGACCACAGATCTGTGCCACCTTGCCCTGCAATTTTTTTTTTTTTTTTTT